GAAAGAGCAGATCTTCAAATTAGCTACCAGACCTTAATCACGTCATTTACCTTTGTGGAGCCTTTGTAAAATGAGGAGTTTGGAGTGGTTCTCAACCTTCCTAATGCCGCGACCCTTTAATACAGTTCCTCATGTTGTGGTGACCGCCAACCATAAAATTATTTTTGTTGCTACTTCATAACTGTAATTTTGCTACTGTTATGAATCGTAATGCAAATATCTGATATGCAGGATGTTTTTAGGCGACCCCTGTGAAAGGGTCGTTTGACCCAAAAAGGGGTCGCGACCCACAGGTTGAGAACCGCTGGAGATGGTTTTAAAAATCTGGATCAGTCATTCTGAGAGCGTGGTCCAGACTTCAGGGTCACCTGGAGGGAAGGGGTGGCGCTTGTTAACAATGTAGATCAGTGGTTCTCAACCTTGGCTGCACATTAGAATCACCTGGGAATCTTTTTGAAATCCTGATTTCTGGGCCTCATCCTCTGGAAATTCTGTTTCTTTGTTATGGGGCGGGGCCACAACATTAGTAACAAAGAAACAGAATTTCCGGAGAATGAGGCCCGGAAATCAGGATTTTAAAAAGATTCCCAGGTGATTCTAATGTGCAGCCAAGGTTGAGAACCACTGATGTAGATTATTGGGTCACTGCCTCCCACTGGACGCTGGGGAGTGAGAAGAGCCTCAATCTTAGGAAATGATATACAAATTCCAGATCTCAACTTCAGTGGAAACTGAATCCTTGGGAATGTGTCCTGCAGGTGCCAGTTTGATTTTCCAGCAAATCACTCACTGCCTTTGGACTCAGGATGGCAGCACCGACCCCCACGAACCTGTTGTGCTGTCACAGTATTACCAAGGCAGGCGAGGTCCTAAATGAAAGGTATTGCATCACCTCACTACTGTTACATAAAGAAGCAGTGACTTCGAAATATTTCTCACTTGAGTTTGTATCACAGTCAGATTCTTACAAGTCCAAATTCAGGTATGTGGTATGGGTACAGAATCTTGCTTGAATTACCTAATTAAATTTGTTGCTTAGGACTCAAACTAAATGGTTAGGAGACAAGAGCTTTGATAATGAATTCAGTTAATATACATTAATGGGAAAAATACTTGTAAATTCTACCCACAATTTAGGACAATTATTTCAAAAACGTGTCCTCTGTGGGTAAACACAGAGGATGATTCAGGTAAATTATTTTAAATGCAGATTTTATTGATCAATAGCTCGATTTTTATCAAAACAGCACACTCCCAGTCTACATGTCATCCTTTGTATATTCTAAGATAATCGCTCTGATAATATCACTTTTCTTGACCTACCTACATCTGCATTATTTATTATTAATGGCCTGGGTCACCGCAAAGATATAAAGCAAGAAGATCCTTCTGGTCCTGGGATGTCTTTTCATAGAAAAGACCACTTTGCCTGAGGTAATACATGCAAATAAAAGACCCAGTTTTGAGGTGAAATTGGGCTCCAGTTGGAGCTGTCTACAAAGCTTTGTCTGCTATTTCCCTTCTCTGTTCTATTCATTCTGTTCATTTCCATTTTACATCAGTTGCTTTCTTTACAATAAATATTGCAAAATCATCATGGCAACACTCTCTGGAGAAAACGTTAGTAATCTCTTAATTATTGGTCCCTTCTGGGTATCTATATTACAAATCCTCAAAGTGAAAGGACTATTGCTCCATTTTGTATCTAGTGCACTTAAGAGAATCCAGAATAAACTGTCTCAAAATGTTTTCAGATGTCCCCATGCGGGGTCTCCTAGGCATACTAGTTTGAATATTAAATTAACACCTGCTTTTAAATCAGTAAATTAGACTAATGGCTGTAGTACTGAAACAGATCCTCCACACTTTGAAATGAAAATAAAATGTAATGCTAAGCCAAACAAAGACACACCTGGTTCTTTTGAAACACAACACGGAGCATGTGAATGGATGGCTCATGTGCTTACACATCTGACTGGCAGAGTAAAGGTTGCCATGAACCCAGCCGTGCCCACATGCTCCCGTGCACCAAAACACAGACATAGTACAATAATACAGTATGATGTCATGCTCTGCCTCTTTGCTATTATTTACATCAGGCGTCTGTCTTTACAGCAAAAGATCGACAGCCTACCTGAGAGACTTTGCCAGATCCAGTTGTGGTAAACACAAATTTTGCAAACTGATAACACTGAAAGCACATCTGGGACTTGGTACACAAGCATGCTGTGGCCTATGTGACGACTACTGAAGCATGAATACATACTGCCAAGTTGTACCGGGCAGGACAAAAAATGTGATCTGAGGCATTCAAGCGCGTTGGACACCCTCGTGCCATGAAAGGAACTAAATCCATCCCTCTTCAAGTCAGGCAGCAACTCCTCTGTCACAGCACAGGATGTCTCTGAACTGGAGTTGTTGGTTACATTTCTGCATCTGCACTAGAGAGTGAGCTCCTAGTCTTTGTCTCTGGAGAGCCTAAAGAAGAAAGGCAATGGATTTTATCCTGGGAGCAAATTCTACTCTTGTGCTTGGATGCCATGGTGAGAAGGGTTGTGGGGTCGCATCAAGGTTTGGCAAGAAAGAATACAAGATGATTAATAATTGAGTCTCCTTGTATGCACATATGCATAACCCATGGACACTGACAATAGGATGCTGAAGGCCTGGGGGAGGGCGGGGCAGGCCAGAGCGGGTTAATGGGGGGGAAAAAGAGGCATGTGTAATACTTTCAATAATAAAGAATTATTTAAAAAAATTTTTAATACATAAATAAATATACTGAAGCCAATTGGAAGAGTTTTCAACTGGCAAAATCTAGGACAATTTGAACATCAAATTAATTAATTATAGTAACTGATTTAAGTAAGCCATTTAATTAAAGAGAAAATTATGAATTCATACTGATATCAAGCTATTATTCTATCAATAAAATTTGATGATGAATAAAAATAATAATAATTGAGTCTCTGCCATGGGCACATGGGGGGGTATTAATATTACTATCATGTACTTATCAACCCTGTTGGTAATAGGAGACAATAATATTAAATGATTGGCTGGATGAATAAGTGAAGGTAAGAACAACACAAAGTATCTTTACCCACAGAGGCAGATATAATATTAATTTGAAAAAGGGTGAGACCAACCTTACTACTTGCCTCTATTTCATTAACAATGTTATTGTTAAGGCAAAAGGAGATTGGCTTAAAGCTAAACACTCCTTGTTAGGATGCTAACTCTAAGTACCTCAAGGAACAAACTTTTGCTACAATATTGTTTTTACCACATTAGGAGCACTTGTATAAGCCAGGGATGAAAATAGCTGGCCAGGAAAACAGCAGCTCTGTTCCTTTGTCCAAGAGTCCAATCACACCCTGTAAAGGCCTGAGCTCCTTATCTCATTCTGGTCTTGTTTCCTGCCAAACCTGAAAACTAACACAAATAAATGGCTAATTGCTCCCTTGACCAATGTGATCTTTCTGACCATTGTCCTGATTCAAGTAGAAAGTTGTGTCCAACAACATGCAATTTGTGCACTGCCAATATATGCAGTAGATTGTCTCCTAAAATACTGAACCAACAGGACAAGTTTCTGCCAATTGAATCAGAGTCCCACATTCTAGAGTTTGAAGAAAAGTTAAAACAAAAGTCATGATTCAATGTCAAGTGGTAAGCATGGAGCCTGGTGGACAATAAGGACTCAACAAATGACAGTCGAAGGCGTTGGTGGGATAGTGGTGAGCATAGCTGCCTTCCAAATGACAGTCATTATTGCAATTATTTTCAAAAGCACTTTTTTTGAAATGGTGAATTAAAGTATTGGAGTCTTAAAAATTCTGTAACTCACCTCATTTTACACAGGAGAAGATTGAAATCTTAGGGCAAAACATCCAGTATACCCAATGGCATAAAACTAGTGGTGGGGAGATAGAGAGAGAGAGAGAGAGAGAGAGAGAGAGAGAGAGACTAGGTCCTCAGTCCTGAGGTATTTTTTATCTCCTCTCTAAAGGGGCGGATCTTTAAAAAAAAGAGAGAAAAAAATATATATACACACACATACAATATACTAGAGGCCCGGTGCATGAAATTCATGCACTGGGGGTGGTGGTGTTCCCTCAGCCCAACCTGCACCCTCTCCAATCTGGAACCCCTTGGGGGATGTCCGACTGCTGGTTTAGGCCCGATCCCATAGGGCCTAAATCACAATCCAGGACTACTGGTCCTAACCGCTCGCCTGCCTGCCTGCCTGATTACCCCTAACCGCTTCTGCCTGCCAGACTGATCACCTCCTAACTGCTTTCCTGTTGGCCTGATTGATGCCTAACTGCTCCCGTGCCAGCCCAATCACCCCCAACTGCCTTCCCTTGCCAGCCTGATTGCCCCCAACTGCCCTCCCCTGTAGGCCTGATCACAACTAACTGCCCTCCCCTGCTGGCCTGGTCGCCCCCAACTGCCCTCCCCTGCTGATCTGATGGCCCTGGTCACCCCGGTGGAAACCTCACGGAGCAGCAGCCAGGACCCACCCCCCGGCGGGGCTGAGGTAACTCTGGCAGCAGGTGCACGGAGCGGCCACCGGGCTCCCGCCCCCTCGAGGGGCCGCGGGACACACACACACACTAGAAGCACAGCATGCAAAATCGTGCGAGACCCAGACCTGCCGTGTGCGAGCAGCTCACCGCTGCGAGCCCCTCCGCGCTGCACGAGCTGCGAGTCCTGCCATGCTGCGCAAGCGGCTCACAGGCCAGGGGAAGGAACCGAGAGGTGCTCCATGCACCTCCTGGTGACCAGTCATTTGGTCGTTACAGCATTACGGCATTACAGCCACTGGC